GGGGTCGCTCCGAGCCCAGCGGGCCGGGGCTTAGCGGCTCTGCCAGGCTGCGAGCTCCAAAAAACGGCTCGAAAATGATTCTTAAAATTCCTTAAAACACAAACACCGCTCGTAGGCGGCAAAACGGGAATGCCGAACACACGGAGAAGGGGAGGCACAGAGCCGGGGCAGGGAAAGGCTCCGCTCCCGGGATGCCCGGGATGCCGGGGCAGGGATGCCCGGGATGCTGAAGAACGCCAGGGACGCCGAGGTTCAGCCACTCTCTTTAATGACAACTCGCTGATCTCCGTCAGCTCCTACAGCAAAGGGCAACACGTCGGAAGGGGCGGGCAGTGCATTTCCATACTAATTCACGTTTTAGTGCAGAACCCTACGGGACCTGGCGGGCCGGAGTGTCTGTGTCCCTCGGCTGGGCCGGGGGTCTGTCTGTCCTCATCCCTGCCCAGGCCGGCAGTAGCAGCCTCGCAAGGGACACCTGGGGGTGCCGAGATACCGAACAGCGGGGACCGGACGGGAAGTGCAAAAATTAAATGTGGACGTCAATAATAATAATTAACATGGAGTAAAAGTTGGGGTTTTTTTTAAAATAAAAAAAAAAAAAAGAGAGTTGCAGGGCTTGGCTGGGTGCTGTTGGGAGCAAGCCACGCGAAATTACCGGCTGCTTTGTAGGACGGAAGGAAAGGGATTATCAAGGTGAAGACCCGGGTGGAAGGGGAGCGAGAGGGGCCGGGAAATGCGGGCATCCCCCTCCGGTGCCCGCCTGGGCCGGCACAAACAGCGACCCCCGTCCGTGGGTACCAGAGCCGTGAGATCCTCCGGGATGCTCCGCCGAGCCCTCCCCAAGCCCCGGAACGTCCCGGCCCCTCCACCCCGGCCGGCTCACCAGGCTCGGATCCCGTGCAAGCTGGAGATGCCCGCGTTGCCCTGCGGGATGGCAGTTTGCACAGAATTCAAGTCCCCCACGCTGAAGTTCATGAAGTTGCTGGCGGGCGCCGAGGGCTGCACGGGCTGCACGGAGGGGTAGCTGCAGTTGTAGTTGGCGTTGCAGGCGGGGCTGTTGTAGTTGGTGTACGCGGGGTAGGCGTTGTAGCTGTAGGGGTTAATGCTGACATTGTAGGGCGAGCTGTAGGGAGAAGATTCCCCCAGGCAGGGCTTCCCATCGCGGACCAGCACCGGCACCGCGATCCGCCGCGGGGGAGGGATCCCCACCATCTCCAGCGTCTGGTCCTGCCTCTGCCTTTTGCATTTGTACCTTCGGTTCTGGAACCAAATTTTCACCTGCGTGGAGGTGAGCTTTAGGACGTTCGCTAGGTGGTCCCTCTCGGGGGCCGAGAGGTATTTCTGCTGCTTGAACCTTCTCTCCAGTTCGTACACTTGGGCTTGAGAAAAGAGGACGCGAGGTTTCCTCCTCTTCCTCTGTCTGGGGCGCTCGGGATCTTCCAGGTCTCTTTTCTCCTGTTCCAGGCTCTTGTGTAGGGAGCACAGCTCTGCAGCGAAATAAACGGGCGAAGGAAAAAATGGGGAGGAAAAAATTGTGCAAAAATTTTTACAAATCAGTATTTAATAAAGAGGATGCAACGTGAGTGGGCTCTGGTTCTTCCTCGGCCTCGCAGCAGCGGGACCAGCCCGCTTTGGGTACCTCTTCAGTAAATTTTCCGTCTTTTTTGCTCGAAAACAACGGTGTCCCGTGCACTGATGTGAGTCCCGCCCGCCTGTGCCTCAGCTCGGATTTATCCAGATTTATTCAGCACCGTAGCTTTGCGCTGAGACCCGCCCCGACCCCCGAGCGGATCAGGAATGGGCTTTGTCACCTGCTTTCTGCCCAAAGCCGAGGCCTCCCGTGTCACCCTCTGCCCGTCCCGGGGCAGGGACACAGCCCCGGGACCCGCGGGACCCTCCCCGGGATAAAGATGACCTTATCCCAGGGGATAAAGATGAGAGCTGGGGACCCCCGGCCGAGCTCCCAACCCCTCTAGGGGTTAAATTAATAACATCCTTTAGCATCCCCCTGCCCTCCCTTTTCCCCCGAGCCCTTGGCTTTACCTTTCTTGTCCGCCTTGGCCTCCTTGGCCGAGTCCATCTCCACGTAGCTCTTCAGGCAGTAGGAGCCGGGGAAAGCGGCCGCGGTTTTGCCGGGGGGGGGCTCGGGCAGCTCCTCGGGCAGGGCGGGGGGCTCGGAGCCGAACCCCTCCTGCTTGAAGGTGGCCAGCATGCAGGACGGGGAGGCCAGCGAGGCCAGCTCCATGGAGCCCAGCCCGCCGTGCTGCTGCTGCTGCTCCAGGTTCAGGATATCCTTCACCGAGAAGGGGGTGCTTGTCACAGGGCTAGGAAACATTGCGGGGGACAGCTGGCCAGCGGCCGCAGCCCAGGGTCATGGAAAAGGAGGTGGGGAGAGGATGAGGAGGAGCAGTGGGCTCCCGGAGGGGGCACATAGCATTCCCGACAGTGGCCCTGACTTGAGCTCTGCGCCCAGGTACGAGCGGACCATAAGGCGAGGGAAGGAGGGACCAGGCACTTTTTGGGTGACTTTAGCTTTCTATTGGCCAACATTGCGGTGATGGTATGAGAGATGCAAAGTTCCATGTCACCTAATATAGTAATACATCTCAAAAACAGCTCCGCTCTTTTAAAGGGGCGGCACTGAATTTATCCAGCTTCGCAGCGGCGAGCTGGTTCATCCATTTGAAACAAAAAAAAACCAAAAAGAGAATGGCTTAATGCGTACAAAGTCAGTGTCTGACGCTATCTATCATACAGTCAGATTAAATAAACAAGCCGGGAGGAAACCATCAACCAAATATGTGCTGATTTTTTTTTTTTTTATTTTTTTTTATTTTTTTTACGGAGGTTTCGTTTTTAGTATTCTGCAATATCCGATGGCAGGAACTAAAAAACGGGAGTTCAGTGCTGTGTGAAGAGCGTTCAAGGGGAAATCCGCGCTCAGGGTTTATACAGATGTGCAGTGATTGCAAAAGAGAGAGACCCTGAGCAGCCCCTGCCCGCCTTTGGACAGGGAAATGCCGATTGGGTTTTGCTCTCGTTTGTTTGTAAAGCTTTCAAACAAAGAAGCAGCACTGCCTGGAGGGGAAAAAAAATTAAAAATCAACCAAAACAAGCGTGGGTGAAGGTGTTGCAAAATACACCAGGGTAAGGGAGGAGTAAGTAAAGGAGCCGCTAAAATAAAACTGCAAAGTCGCAGGTAGCGGAGGGGCGGTTCGGGGCTTTGTGAGCTGGGGGAGAGCGAGAAAAAAAAATAGAAATAAATAAAGAATCTCCTTTCTGCGGAGGGGCGGTTCGGGGCTTTGTGAGCTGGGGGAGAGCGAGAAAAAAAAATAGAAATAAATAAAGAATCTCCTTTCTGCAGAGAAAAGAAATAAAATAAAGAAAAAGAAATGAATAAAGAATCTCCTTTCTGCAGAGAAAAGAAATAAAATAAAGAAATAAAATAAAGAATAAGAGATAAATAAAGAATCTCCTTTCTGCAGAGAAAATAAATAAAATAAAGAAATAAAATAAAGAAAAAGAAATAAATAAAGAATGTCCTTTGTGCAGCGCCTGGCTGAGAGAGGCACGGGGATGGGCACGGTGGGAGCGGAGCAGAGAAACCCAAAAGGGATGCGGGGAGTTCGGGGGGGCTCTTGGGTGAACCCCGCTCTCAGAGCTGTGCAAATCCCTTCTCCTCCCGCAGGAAGGTGGAAAGGTGAGCACCTGGCCACCCCCAGCAGGACCGACCCTACACTGCCCCTCGAGATTTTGTGTCTTGGCACCCCGGGCTCTCTTCCAGGGAGCTGAATTCTGGATATTTTGAATTCTGGAAATTTTGTATTCTGGATATTTTGAACTCTGGATATTTTGAACTCTGGATATTTTGAATTCTGGAAATTTTGAATTCTGGATATTTTGTATTCTGGATATTTTGAATTCTGGATATTTTGAATTCTGGATATTTTGAACTCTGGATATTTTGAATTCTGGATATTTTGAATTCTGGATATTTTGAATTCTGGAAATTTTGAATTCTGGATATTTTGAACTCTGGATATTTTGAATTCTGGATATTTTGAATTCTGGATCCGCGGCTGTGCTGGGAATTATCGCTTT